GTATGTACAGTACGTTATTACGCTTGCCTGATGCTAGAAAGAGATTGGAGTAGTACGTTAAACGCTAATTTCAAACGCCTCATGGATCTTACAAGAAAAAGTATATTGCCGTTTCCCTATGGTGCGTTCTACCTGGGACATTCGATGTAAAATATTTTCAAAATGGTCACAAATTACATTCCTTCTATTGCTTATTAGGAGATACATCAATTTGAAGTTCCTACTTTTTATTTAATTTTTGAAAAAATTATCCTCGTTTGAGATCGAAGGAACTTCAGCGCATTTTTGTGTGGCAGATCAGTATTCTATTAACCACTTTCGACTCAACCATCAATAACAGATCTTGTCGAAGGCTACTACAGTCACTAACCGCTTCCCACTTTCCGCGTGCACCCGCAATTCGCTTTTAAAGTTTTGACTCCACCATCAGTAAGATCGTGTCGGGGGCTACCACATTCCCTTTGACGGTACCCACTTCCGGCGTTCCGTTCACTCGCAATTCGCGTTTGAAGATTTGACTCCACCATCAGTAAGATCGTGTCGCCGTCGCGGACTACCACATTCTCTTTGACGGTACCCACTTCCGACGTCCCGTTCACCCGCAATTCGCGTTTGAAGATTTGACTCCACCATCAGGAAGATCGTGTCGGGGGGTACCACATTCCCTTTGACGGACCCACTTCCGACGTCCCGTTCACCCGCAATTCGCGTTTGAAGATTTGACTCCACCATCAGGAAGATCGTGTCGGGGACTACCACATTCCCTTTGACGGTACCCCCTTCCGACGTCCCGTTCACCCGCCATTCGCGTTTGAAGATTTGACTCCACTATCAGGAAGATCGTGTCGGAGGCTACCACATTCCCTTTGGCGGTACCCACTTCCGACGTCCCGTTCACTCGCAATTCACTTCTATTGGCGACACGAGAAAGAGAGACAGCGATTCGAGATTTACGAAACGTTAAACCGCGTGAGTTCGCCACGGAAGGTAAAAGGCGCCCGAAGTTGACTACTTCTCGAAGACGCGCGCGCGCGCCTCGCAAAAGGTCGTTAATTTCGCCCCTAGGACAAAAAAACAAAATTCTGCCACGCAGGAGTTGTGCGCGTTTACAACATCTTTCCGACGACACCAATTTAAAAAGAATCGGACCAAAACTGTAGTAGAAGATAGGAAAAAACTGAAAAACCTTCACGTTAGTATACTACGCTCGAGGATGACGCCCAGATGTCGCCAACCCCACATCTTGTAGCCATGTCCCTAAGGTTGACAATTTTCACGGCCCTGTAGATACACGTACACCCGTTGCCTTTCTACAAGAGTTCTTCTACGCGCCCACATTTGCTGCCAGCCAGCCAGCCAGCCAGCCAGCCAGCCAGCCAGCCAGCCAGCCAGCCAAAGTGAGATTAAAAGCTACTTTTTACAAAAAAATTTTTTTGCAAAAATGCGCTAAAAAAGTACCTCTTAACACCAATCCAAAATCCGCAAGGCAATGCGGAGCAGTTGTATAATGAAGCCCACATAAGAACACGGGGATCAGTGGAAAAACTATTTGGAATATGGAAGAGAAGGTTTCCCATTCTTTGTTATGGCTCACGTCTGAAAGTACAAACAACTCTAGTTGTTATAATTGCAACAGCTGTTCTTCATAATATTGCACGAGATATGAATGAAGAAGAAGCACCCTTAGATGATAACGAGATTATGAATATTAACGAAGGGAATATCCAAATATTGCCACAGAATAATCAACCAAATATTAATGAAGGTAGAAACGTAAGACAAGAATTTATAAACTATTTTGGTAGATTATAATGAAATACTTGCTTTATAAAACTAAACATTAATTCAAATGAATAAAATGTAACCATGTAAATGTACCTATATAAAAAAAAATTACATTAATATTTTTCCAGTAATTTTTTTAGTTGTAACTGTTTTATCTTATTGTCTAAGATAAGTCCCTCTACTTTTAATTTATTTTCTTCGAGTTTAAATGTAAGCTCAGCTTCTAAAATTTGCTTTTGAAGTTCTGCATTTTCTTTTTTAATTTTTGCCAATTCCATGTATTCCACTGAAATCTCATTTGTCGTAAGGGCTTTTACAATTGGTCGGCGTCTCGCTGTCCAACGGCTACTAGATGCATTGTTGCGTGCTGTTTTGAGTTTATTGGTCACGGGGGTTTTCAAGTGCGAAGATTTATAATCGCCCCAATTGATTATTCGTTCCTAAAACATTACGATTAACAAGACTTGCATTGACACACATTACACACAATACTGACCTGGTTTTCCTCCAAATTAACAGCAATTGGATCGTCTTCTGTAATTACTTCGATATTATCAATATCACAGGGAGACAACATTTCAACTTCTCCAACATAACTACTTGTTTCACTAGCCGGATTGCCAGGGGATTGTGTGTTTTCATTTTGATCGCACGAAGACTGTACAATATTGTCCATGTCAAATGGGTTATCTAATCCTGCAATTGTTTTTTTATTCATTATTTTTAGCAGTAATTCTTTATGCGGATCATCTCTTGGCATTTCAGGGGGCCCCCCACCGGTCTGCAGCAGCTGGATCCGTTCATTAGAAACATCTTGTCGTATTTGTTTTTTTTTATTCATGTAACATTTCCTAAGCGATTCCATTGGTCTAGGTATACTGGCCATTGAGTTATAATCGGATGCAATTTTTTCCCAGGCATTTTCCTTTTCACGCCATGTCACGGCATCTGTTTTTTTTATTTTCCACCACATGCTTATAATTGTAGACTATATTAAATAATGTGTCTTTTTCATCGGCTGTAAAATTCGAAGTTCTCTTTCGTTTATTTTTTGTAACGTCCATTATTCAAATTAAACTAACGAAATGTAAGGTTATGTTGTAGTAAACAAGTTAAAATTCGCGATGTTGCCATATGTTATACATTACTAAGTCCCACTTTGCAAAGTAGAACTTTAGAACAACGGTGTGCAACGAAAAAATTAGTTAAGCTCTACTTTAGTTTAAGTTCTACTTACTTAAGTTTATATTTATACCGAACCTGTGCAATTGGCCCTTAATCACACGGACATTTTAACATATAGACATTTAAACACTGAGACATATGATCGCATGGCCATATAAACACATTTTTAAAAAATGCTATAGAGCTTAATTATTAATGTACGCATGTTTGAAGCGAATTCTTTCTTTGAAAGTAAGCTGTACTCTCTAAATACGATCGTTAGGGTAGGTACCTACTTAACTTACCTAATGTTACCTAATAACTTCTAATGAGTAAGTAATGACAATTAAACATTAATGAGATGTTTTTAACGACCTTTGGAATATACAGGGTGATTCCTATAGTACCTGCCACCGTTTGGGAGCGTGTAGGTGGTGCGTAGGGGAGTATTTTGATATAGGACACTTGGGGTCGGAAATCTAAAATAAGGGTGCCAGAGCCAAATTTACCTTCTGGAATTTCGCGCCTGTAGGTAGGCAACCCAACCGGCCGGCGGTGCACACGGAGCGATCTCAGGCGGCGATGTGTGGCTGACACTTGATCAGAATTTTGTTTAAACCCACGAAATCCCGTCTGCAACGACGCGTATCAAGTGAATAAACACTATGGCAATAGTATAATAATAGTTGGCTAGATGTAGGAAGTGCATTGAGAACTTGTAAACGTTATTGCTTTTGACTGTCGTTTTCCCTCCTTCCCTCCCATGTCGCTTCCTCGCGCTAACTCGCTCTGCATCGCTCCGCGCGAAACGTCGGTCGGTTGGGTTGCCTACATACAGGCGTGAAATTCCAGAAGATAAATTTGGTTCTGGCGCCCTTATTTTAGATTTCCGACCCCAAGTGTCCTATATCAAAATACTCCCCTAGGCACCCCCTATACGCTCCCAAACGGTGGCAGGTACTATAGGAATCACCCTGTATAGGGTTACAAATCTCTAATAGATGTCAGTACTGTGCTTGTTCGTCACCGTTACACTTACAGTGTTTAACATGGAATTCAAATTTGGAAAAAGTACCAAAGGAAAACCAACAGTGATTTATCGTAATAACGAGTATGTACGGCTACGCGAAACAAGTTCCGGTAATGTTCACTGGAGATGTAAATTATTTCAAAGTGCGAAATGCAAAAGTGTCATTCATACAAATGAAAACACAATTGTAAAATATCCAAGTGACCACAACCACGACACACAGCCTTTTCGAGTAAGTATTTCAAATTTGTTTTGCATTTTCATATTACGTTAAAATTCATTTAACACATTGATCCTTATAATGCCTACTTCTTTCTTAGATTGAAGCTAGTAATGCTGTTGCAAGAATGAAGGAGTTGAGGGTACATGTTGGTGCAACTCCAAAAGCAGTTGCCGCCAATGTCGTGGAAACCTTACCAGACACCGTAAAATGCGTACTTCCCAAGAGACCTACGTTGCAGAAGGCGCTTCAGCGTGCTAACAGAAAACAAAACGTTCAAGCACTTAATCCACGAACAAAAAATTTTGAAATACCTCCAGAATACGGCAATTATTTGTTGCATGATTCCGGTCGGGAGGACGAAGACAGAATATTAATAATAATAATAATAATGCTTTTATTAATCCAGGTGATCCATTATAATTAATACTTGGTCACGCCGATCTTCTCCGTTTATTGGAAGCAAATTCATCATGGCAAGCGGATGGGACCTTTAAAGTAGTACCAGAGCTCTTTTTCCAATTATACATCAGCATTCACGTTCAATTAGCTGGTATATCTTTTCCGTGAATTCTCGCCCTTTTGCCTGATAAGACAGCAGCCACATACATCCGTTTGTTGAACATAATTAAAAATTTAATACCTGGCACCGACCCGTCCACAGTTCTCACTGACTTCGAAATGGGCGCAATGAACGCTTTCCGAATGTCAACGTATCGGGATGTATTTTTCATCTGAAGCAAGCCGGACTTAAAAAAATTGCATCGTTTGGATTAAAAAATGCTTATGAGCAAAATACAAATGATTTAGCATTAGCTGTTAGAATGCTGTTTTCCTTAGCGATGTTACCACTTCATGATGTGGAAAATGGATTTTTACAAGTTGCAGAAGAATTTCCAGAACTTGGTATGTATGACGTTTCTTTAATAATAACAAAATATAACCATGTATTTTTAATAATGTTACAGATGGAACGGAAGATTTTTTGAATTACTTCGAATTCACTTACGTTCGCGGACGGCAAATGCGGAACGGTCGACGTCGGAATCCGCTTTTCAGTCCAGAACATTGGAATCACCACACATCCATCACAGAGGGATTGGCAAGGACGACCAATTCAATAGAAGGTTGGCATTCTGGATTGCAATCGTTATTTCAATGTAGTCATCCTACCATTTGGCGATTTCTGAATGGACTACAAAAAGAAATTTCATTACAACACGCATATTATTTGCAGCACGTAAGTGGACAACGAATTCCTCAGAAGAAGAAGTACAGAGAACTGAACACCAGAGTCGAACGAATAGTTGCAAGCTACGATCCAGCGAATAAAATGGAATATTTAAGAACCCTTGCTCATGTATTTTAATAATGTATGCATGTATAAATAATATGTATAATATTCAATAAAGCTCTATATATTTTTTTATATTTTAGTTTTACTACAGTGTTGGATAACACTAAGCTATGTTTCGGTAGGTTACTTAACGCGCTATTGCTATTACCTCAAACGCAATGTGTTTATTTGTCCATCTGATTATTTGTCTCAGTGTTTAAATGTCTATATGTTAAAATGTCCGTCTGATTAAGTGTCGGCGTGTTTAACTGTCCCTGCTTAAATGTCCCATGATTGTGTGTCGCGTGATTAAGTGTCCGGACACGGGCTCTGGGCATGTTAGACAGTACTCTCTGTTGTTTATTTATTATTGGGCACGAGAAATGTGCACTGCGGCCACTTAGGGCCGAATGCACAAAAGTTAATCAAAGCTTAACGGAACCGTTAACTCATTTTGTACCGTACAAGGGGGCTTCGATAACAAAGAATTTGATTGTAAGTGGACTGTAATTATGAATTACTTCCAAGGCCTTGTTTATGCTGGGAATGAAAGAATATAGACACATAAATAATAGTATATTAAGATACAAGTGTATAATCAAGTCTTTAAAGCACGCGCAACGAGTTTAAGGGCACGACGCAAAGCGGAGTGCCTTTAACGTTGCAAGTGCTTTAAAGACTAATTATACACGTGTATCTTATAGTATTTTTTATTATACCTGCAGTATAATTTAAAAATAGGAAATACAATGAAGTCATATTGACGTTATACTCGAATACATGTCTAATTAAGTGGGCTGGGTGTTCGTAATTTCACGATTGCCATGGAAATGTCACTTGACGTTTGCTTATAAAAATCATCGTCTTTGTGAATTAAACTATTTCCGTTGAAAAAGATAATACACCGTCCATTAAATCGATTGTTGTAAAATCTAAACAAACGTTGGTAGGTGTAAAATCCAACTCCAGTAAAGCCTATTATAAAGAATATGAAAAGTTGTTTCCATGGATGAATAGGAAGTTACTTACGAATACAGTCTTAAATGCATCCATAATGCTGGCATATATGAAGGAAATGTCAAAGGTATTTAAATCTTCTATATTTTGGTGCATTCATTCAAAACTTTAAAGCAATGCTGCGATTAAAAAGTGGAACAGATTTGGAAGCATACCCTAAATTACGCGCGTTTGTGAAAGCTTCAACCAAAGGATAAGTACAAAAGCCAAAGAAATGTTCTGCATTTACAGAAAGCGACCTAAGAGGATTTTTTATTTCATCCAGATGACAGTTTCAAAAGTCATACTTGAAGTCTCGTTACTTAGCAACTTTAAAGCACGTGTGTTTTAAAGGCCCTTTTTCGCACGCATTTGAGTGTTTAAAACGGAGATTGTGATTCAGGTATAATAAAAACGTGTTTATTATCAAAAAATACAAAGTAAATGAATTTCTATTGAACATGGTTGACGTAGGCACGACGGCTACTAGAATATGGTAAAGTTACGAAGGGATAATGTAAACAAAGGAACTTACGTGTTGTTTCGAAGTCCATTAACAACGAAGGCGATGTTGCAATGGCGAGATTGCTCTATTCTACGAAGTTGTCGAATTTGTCGATTTTGTTACAACGAAGTCTTCTTATTGATGTGCGGTGCTTTGACGTGCTGCTTGTTAAGAACGATGTTGCGAACTGCACGGCGACATCTTGACCCGTTGGGGATCGATCGAGATCTATATGCGAACGACGAAGGCTAATCGGCCATTGGTTAACGGCGACTTCTCAACAAAGTTGAGTCGATGGCTTCTAAGTTCTAAGCGAAGAATCCGACGAATTCTGCGCGACGAGTACACATATTGCGCTTCTGCGGCTCATGCGCGCACACGTAACAAATAGGAATATATACAGGCAAGGCAAAACGGTTATGTACAAGGTATTTTCATTAAAGGAAAAACGAAAGGATATTTTATTCTAGTTTGGGGACGCAACACATTTGTTTCCATTAAAAAAGCGAGTTAACGGCGCCGTTAAGCTTTGATTAACTTTTGTGCATTCGGACCTTAGTCATATTATTCTTCTCGCTTTTTCCAAAGCTTCTGCATAGAGGGCTGTATTGGAGACCCATCGTACATTCGTACGCATGACTGACAATTGTTAACGAATGATCTATGTAAATGATCGAAAATAACTGAAAACTAATACGTTGATACTGTAAGCTCATGTCTAAAGTTACAGTGCGAACAGCAGTCAATAATATAATGAATGATGAAAGAAAGCAACACTGACTTATGTCTCCATTGTTTAAGATGCTTTCTTCTTTCTGCTTAGATTGATCCGAGCGTTATCGAAATGATGCGAATCGAGGATTTGGAGAGATTCATACCCGCCTACGGAGATAGGATGGCACTTAACCCTACGGTACTCGCGTGGGATACGCCTTACAAGTAAACGGCGCTTGCGTCGTAAGGGGGGGTGTGTCACCTACTGCCTTCTAGGTAATCCTTCCTCACAGTTTATTTGATGCTTTGGTGAAGTTTAGGTGTGTATTTTTTCTAAATTATTGTTGTTTCCCTCTGATTTTTCCTTGGGATACACGCGTATCCCGTGCGACCTCCGAATTTCATTGTGTGATTACATTTTGTTGGTAAGTTATCATTTATACTTTGCTTAGTTTATGAGTGGATTTTTACTGTTAGTATGTTAAAAATGAGCACAGATCTAAACAATGGTTGGAATGGTACAATGAGTTAGAGGAGGAGGAGGAAATACTAGGGTTAGCGGATCCTAATGAAGATGAAGGTGATTTTTGTGAAAACAGCGACCACGATACCGATTCTGAGGAAGATGCAGAAGATCCGAATGATTCCGAAGAAATAATAGGGTGGTTTGATGACGATCAGATTCCTCGTTACGTTGGAAAGGACTGTATAACGGAATGGAAGAAAATCTGCTCACCAAAAACAAGGACTAGGGCGTATAATATTTTCGAAGGAAAACCTGGACCTATAGGCAATGCAGCACATGCTAAAACCATTTTAGAATGTTTTGAAATCTTTATTAGTAGCAATATTGTGGAAGCAGTAACTACGTCAACAAATTTATACATTCAAAACAATCAGTCTAACTACAATCGTGAGCGAGATGCGAAGCCGACTGAAGAATGTGAAATAAAGGCTTTATTTGGAATGTTATACCTTCTAGGAGTTAGTAAATCGGGTAGACAAAATATTACGGATTTTTGGAGAACGGACGGTACCGGTATGGACGCCAATATTGCACAATGTCGTATAATCGATTTAGGTTTCTTTTACGCTGCTTGAGATTTGACGATGTCAATACTCGGCAAGAACGAAGAGAAATTGATAAGTTGGCAGAAATAAGAAACATTTTTGGGGTGTTTATAGAAAACTGCCAGAAATCCATTATGCCTGGACCCGATCTAACAATTGATGAACAACTGGTGGCCTTTAGGGGACGTTGCCCTTTTAGGCAGTATATACCATCAAAGCCAGCGAAATACGGCCTAAAAGTTTTCGTTCTAGTTGATTCAAGTAACATGTATACCTTGAATCTAGAAATATACGCTGGAACTCAACCAGGCGGTCCTTTTCAATTATCTAACAGCCCTTCGGATGTTGTCAAGCGACTTGTTTCTTTTATTAGAGGAACATATCGTAATATAACCATGGACAATTGGTTTTCTAGCTTTCCACTTGCTGTTCAACTAAAAAATGAATTCAAACTTACTATGCTCGGGACAGTCAAGAAAAATAAACGAGAAATACCGGCAGAGTTTATAAATACTGCTGAGAGACCAGCATTGAGTAGTCAGTTCGCGTTTCATAATGAGTGCACTCTTGTATCGTTTGTTCCAAGAAAGAAAAAAAATGTACTGGTTCTATCTACAAGCCATGCAGATGACAGTATTGACCATGAAACTGGCAAACCAACGATGGTAGTGGATTACAATCACACCAAGTTTGGAGTTGATGTTGTCGACCAGATGTGTGCCTCGTACAATGTTGCTAGAAATAGTAGGAGATGGCCTCTTACTATATTTTTTGATATGAATATAGCAGCAATTAATGCATTAGTATTATTCCAAATGAACAACTCAAACCTAACTCACAAACGACGCGATTTTTTACGCACCTTAGCTTTGGATCTTATGAAACCGCAAATTAGGAAACGATCTGGCATTCCCAATATTTCAACACAGTTGAGGGAACGATGCTGTTTGCTTGTAACCGAACGTTTGGAAGAATCATCTACTTCTGCAAACAACATTGCATCACCGTCAAAGAAGGCCCGAACAGGAAATGGTCGGTGCTACATATGTCCTCGCAAAAGAGACAAAAGGACCAGAGACTACTGCTCCATTTGCAATAATTGGATTTGCAAAGATCATCAAAATGATTCGCCTATAGTGTGCTTAAAATGCGAAGAAAAAGAAGACGAATAATTGGGTTTCTTTAAATTTTTGAATTGTCTTTCTTAATTTTATTTCTCGTTTGAATGGTTCTTAATAAAAATATGACACACACATCTTTACTTTGTACCAAAATATCAATTAACTTTTCATTTAAGCCTGTTAGTTATTATGGGACACAAATGTATCCCACGCGACCGCTCACGTAACAAATCTTCACGCGAGTACTGCAGGGTTAAGGAATTCTGCGGGAAACGGAATAGAAAAGAAATACCTAACAAAAAATTAGTAGTTTTGGAAAGACTGCGGAAGAAAGTTAATTCTAAATACTACCTTAGCAGCGACGATAAAGAAAAACAACCAAAAACGAAAAAATTAAACTTCGGTAGCGGAAAAAAAGCAACAAGGCAGGTTGAAATTGGCTGAATGGTTAGTTTGAATGGTGACAAATATTCCCATGTCAAATGTGTATTGATCGTTCACTTACAACATAGCAAAAGTTTATAATCAGCTACCGGATATTCTGAAAAATATGTCATTAAGTTGCTTCAAACCGAAGTTGCTTTCGTTAATGAAAGGTGGCCTAGCAATCAATGGGTAAATAATGCAAAATAATGATTTGTTGGCGCATTAAGAGCTAATGAGATTTTAAAGTATGTACCTCTTCT